GCTAAGGCAATTCTACTATTCTACTATCTACTATTCTATATAGGAAGAACTTAGGGATATATAAGGATACTTATTTATATATCTAGTTTAGTTCTTCGTCTTTAATCATATATTGTTACTTATATTTACCTTTTGGATTACTATGACTCTTTACTTAATTATAACTTGATAATACTTACGAGTAGACTAATACTCCGGTATAGATCTACTCGGCGCTCTACCTAGCATCAGTTCCTTGATCGCTCAAAAGGACTTAGGCTATAGTAAGGCCCTACGCGGCAATAGCTCAGTTGAGACCCGATCATTGACGTTGGACTATTCGAGGAGTATTAAGGCAAGTATACCCTGAACCCATCTAACCTAACTATGACCAGTTAGCTAGTGCGTAACACTAACTTATTACTTATTATAGTAATTATATCGTTCCCTATAGTAAACTCTCCTACTAGGACCTCGTCTAACCCTCTCGCCGCCTTTATTAAGAACTTAGAGGGATATACTATTAATCTCCGGTCCCTTAGTACTTCGTCTCCCTTATCGGTATCGTAAAACCTACTTAATATAGAGACCTCCTCTATCGGAGCCTCGTAGCTTTTTAGTAAGTCTTACTTCCTACTCTATACTAGCTCCCTTACTTACTAACTAACTTATATAGCCGACCTATCTCTATCCCCTCGCTTCGTTAATCTTAACGCTAAGGATACTACCGAGTTACTAACTAGCCTCGATAATATCCTATAACTAGTCTTTCTTAATAAAGTACGAGGTATACTAGCTATATTATAGAAAGAGTAGGTAAGGATCGGAGGTAATATAGACTAGCCCTAAGTTAATAATATATTCTAACTTCGCGCGGTTACGTCTTATAATTATTAGATAGCCGTTATTAGCTAGTATATTAGTATCGCTACTCCCTCTAAAGAGGAGTATATCTAGTACCGATATAATACTAGCTACTTTATTTCTTACTAAGTCGTAGCTTTCTATAAAAGCTCGGTTAAGAGTACTATAGTTAGTCTAGGTTCCTATATATATTATTACTTTATAAATATAGCTCGCGCTTACCCTTTATATATTAATACCCCTATCTAGGCTCTAAACGCGCTTTATATATACTCCCCTAAGTTCTAGTTCCCGGTAGTTACTCTTACTAATAAGTCTCCTATCTAGCCTCTAATCTAGCCTTTAACCCCCTCTACTCCCCCTCGCTTTATTACTTCCCGCTTCTTTAGTTCGGTTTCTACCCGCCTATTTTATAAACGCCTCTATATCTCCCCCTCTACCGCTAATATATCCCCTTCCCTTTATATTAAATTAAGCGAGAAAGTATCCGAGGAAGGTACCCCTATTACCCCTAAATAGCGTAGTATACTTACCTATAGACTTTTTAAGGCCTCCCTAGATATTAGATTACGGATAGAACGTCGTTTAATAGAGGAGATAACGTAGATATAGGTTAATATTAGTCTTATTCGTCGGGATTTACGTAGTTTAAAGTTACTTTATAGTTAGGAAGTAATAGAGCGAGCTATAGTTAGTAGGGAAGTAGATATTATTTAGGCTAATTATATTAATAATATCTAGATTACTAGGTACTTATTAAAGCTTTTAAATTATACTTACCGAATATAAAGACTATAATTCTATTAATAACTTCCTTATAGTCCCTTATAGATTATCTCTTCGTAGTATTTCGTAAGTCTTCGCTTACTCGCTTTCTTACTATAGTAGCGGAATCCTTCTTATTACGAATCTATCGTATAGCGATATAGCCTATAGAAAAGGTATAGAGATACTTACTATAGCGTCGGAGCGTCCTCTATATACTAATCTCCTTAGCTATCCTTTTTAGGGGCGTTATTATTAACTAGGTTCTCTTATAGAACCTCTTCTACCTTTATCCGGGTAGGTATCTAGTCCTCTCGTTAGGACTCCTCTACCTCTCCCTAAATAGATATCCGGTCTACTTACTAGGACTCCTTTACCTCTCTCTAGGTAGTTATCTAATCTACTTATTAGACTTCCTTTACCTCTCCTTAGATAGGGACTATACTTTCTAGACCTTTCCTTCGGGTCTCCCCTACTTACTAAGTAGGGACCTTAGCCGCTTATAGTAATATTTTATCTAGTATATATACTATATCCTCTACTTCCGGCGTAGGTATCGTCTTTTTTATTCTTTTAGCGGGTAGTAGTTACTTTCTCGTTTTTACTACGATATTTCTAAGTACTTTCTCCCTCCCTACTAAGCGTAAGCGTACCCCTAAATACTCTATTATATCCTACTTAGCTCGAGAAATAGTAGCTAATTTATAGTAATTAAGCGGTTCGTCGGAGTCTATATTAACTACTTCTTTACTATCGAGCGGATACCGAATATCTATATCTTCCTATCGAAGCCGATACTTACCGCCTAATAACGTCTATAGCTAGTTAGGGTTATCGATAAAGACGTCGATAAAGCGGCGGCTATTTACTAAATTCCTTAGTATCCGGCTACTAGGCTTAGTAAGTATATACGTACTAAGCGGGTAGGCTTTTAAGATCTTATATAGCCCGAACTACTATAATTCGAACTTCTATTTTACCTCGTTCCGAATTAGTACCTACTTACCTAGCTATAGTAAGTAAGTAGTTACTTTCTTATCTTAGATTTTTTAGGCCCGGATAGCTTTATATAATAATCTCTTATTAGCCTCGGCTTTTATATAATTAATAGTAAGAATCTTACTATCTAGCTCCGCCGGGTCCTAGGACGAGGTTACTAGCTCGGTATCCCCTAGTAAGCGTAGATACGTCCTATATACTAAGTAAAAAGGACTTTTACCTAACGTTATATATTCCCTAACCCTTATAGCGAATAGGGCTTAGGCTAAGTAAAGATCCTATACTCTAGTAAGCTTATTTATATAATATTTAGTAAGTATTTGTCCTAGTAAGCTATTAAGATTCTCTACCTTCCTATTAGTTTATAGGTAGTATAGCGTTATTATCTAGTATTTCGTATTTACTAGCTTAATAAAGTACTATATTAAGGCCGTAAGTAAGTTAGCGCTATTATCCGTTAAGAACTCTATAGGTATGTTATATATAGTAAAGATATCGTTATAGAGAAATTCGGCGATAGCTTCCTTTATAGCCTCTAGTAAGGCTTTTATAAGTAGCTAGCTAGTAGCGTAATCGATTACTATAATAATCTATCGGTTACCGCTTAGCGTCGTAGGTAGTAAGCCGATAAGGTTAATACCTTATTATTTAAAAGGCTTAATACCTACGCTCGCTAAGTATTAAGACGCTTCTCGTTTAAAACTCTTATTTCTTAATTTCGATACTTAGTAATTCGGATAAAGACGTACTACTTCCTCGGTATCCTATTATATTCCGGGCTACTAAACGCGGGTACGGAGTACTCCGTATAGGCCTAGGTAGCCTAAGTATTTATATTCCTTATATATCCGTTTTAAGAAGTCCTTCCTAAAAGGCGGCTCTAGATATAGGGCGGAGGATCTATCCTTATATAGGTAGATAAGCTTTATATTCTCTTCTTATATTATAGCTATCGGTAAGGATAATTTATATATCGCGAGTTTACTAGCCTAACGTATAACTTCTTAACGAAGCGACTTATTATCCGATAAGTTACCGGCCGATATATATTAAATAGTAATAGTAAACTATTCCGCTTCGTCGAATCCGCCTACTTTTATTATTATATTTAGTTTTCTCTAAGTAGGTATTTTCTAGGCTATATTAGCTAGTCTCTCTCTAAGAAAGTTAGGGCGCCGGTTAATAGCGTTAGGAATAACTACTTCCTCTCCTTTCCGGTACTATAGCTCGAGGTTATATATCTAGAACTTATTAATCTAGCGAGTAAGTCGCTTACTATACGCTTTTATAATTACTAGATATTAAAGATCTTTATAGTCTATAATAACTATAGTCCTTATTCTATTCTCTAGGTATCTATCCTAAATATAAAGGGCTTCCTTAATCGTAAGGAGCTCCTTTTTATATACTAGGTAGTTTAACTCTATATCTTTTAGCTTATAGCCGTCGAAGGCGACTAGATATATCTTTCTATTATCGCCTACTTAGTAGAGTATAAAGCCGATCGCCTATTCGGAGGTATTAGTTTTTATTATAAAAGGCTTAGTCTAGTTAGGTTAAATAAGTACTAGGGCGCTAATAAGTACCTCCTTTAGGCGTATAAAAGCTACTTTATATTACTCGGTCTAAATAATCGGTTAGAACTTTTACTTATATAGTTCTTTATCGGCTTCCTTAATTAAGTTATATAAGACTACCGCTATTTTTACGAAGTCTTTAATAAAGCGTCGGTAGTAAGTAGCTAAGCCTAGAAAATAGCGAACTTTATTAATATTTATTAGCCGGGGCTACTCCTTAATAATATCTAGTTTTATTATAACGGCTTAAACCTTACTATCCCTAATAATATAGCTATAGAATTCTAACTCCTTAGTAATAAATACGTACTTCTTCGGTTTAATATAAAGCTTCTACTTATATAAGTACTATAGTACTTCCTCTAAGTAGGTATAGTACTCTATAAGTATCTTTAAGTATACTAATATATCGTCTAAGTATACTATAACCGACTTATCTAAGTAAAGGCGGAGTATCTCGTTTATTAATATCTAAAAGGTAGCTAGTATATTATAAAGCCTAAATAGTATCGCCCTCTATTCGTACTTCCTCTAAATAGTATTAAATACTATCTTTAGTATTACTTCTTTAACTATTCTTACTTACTAATATCCGGCCGCTAAGTCGATCTTTAATAAGTACTTAGCCTAGCTAACGATATCTAGTAAGTCCTAAATCCTTAGGATAGGGTATCTATTCTTAGCGGTAAGTTTATTAAGGGCGTAGTAGTTAATATATATTCTTTATACTCTTTTAGACTTCTTAACGAATACTACTAGAAATCCCTAGAGACTAGCTAATATCTAGATTAATCCCTTATCTAGTAAGTCCTTTACTTATTTCCTAAGCTCCTTAAGCTTCTTATAAAATAGGGGATAAGTATTTATATTTACTAGGTCGGCGGTATTAATATTAATATAATAGACGAAGTTACGTTCGGGGGGTAACTCCTTTAGTAAGTCGTTAGGAAAGATATCGGTAAACTTCCTAAATAGCTTAGCTAAGCGAAGGTCGTTAGTCGTTAGTTTATAGTCCTCGCCCGCTATAGTATATAAGACTATATACTCGGTATTCTTATCTTTTAGGGACCGGCGGACCTCCCTCTTTAATAGTAAGTTTAGCGTCCCTTTCTCCTCCCTACTAAGTATACGGCCGTCTACTATCTATACTTCGTAATCTCTATTATAGTCGGTAAGCTATATCCTTTTTATAGGGAAGCTAACGTAGGGGTTATACTTATATAGGAAGTCGTTACTAAGTATTATATTATATCCTTCTATATTAATTACCTATATTACTTTCGTACTAGTCTACTTACTTAGGCAAATTACTAGTTCTATTATACCCTAGGTATATAGGGTCTCGCTGTTCGGTAATAATACTAGTAACGATCTATACTTATCCTATTTACTACCTAGGCGGC